TGGGTGTGGCTGACGTATGCGGGCGCGGGCACTGGGGCCTTCGGTGGAGCTCCCTATGGGACCACGAAACGTGTGAGGGGTGTGCCGAAATGGGTGTGGCTGACGCATGCGGGAGCGGGCACTGGGGCCTTTGGTGGAGCTCCCTATGGGGCCACGAAACGTGTGAGGGGTGTGCCGAACTGGGTGTGGTTGACGCATGCGGGCGCGGGCACTGGGGCCTTCGGTGGAGCTCCCTATGGGACCACGAAACGTTTGAGGGGTGTGCCGAAATGTGTGTGGCTGACGCATGCGGGCGCGGGCACTGGGGCCTTCGGTGGAGCTCCCTATGGGGCCACGAAACGTGTGAGGGGTGTGCCGAAATGGGTGTGGGTGACGCATGAGGGCGCGGGCACTGGGGCATTCGGTGGAGCTCCCTATGGAGCCACGAAACGTGTGAGGGGTGTGCCGAAATGGGTGTGGGGGACGCATGCGGCCGCGGGCACTGGGGCCTTCGGTGGAGGTCCCTATGGAGCCACGAAACGTGTGAGGGGTGTGCCGAAATGGGTGTGGCTGACGCGTGCGGGCGCGGGCACTGGGGCCTTCGGTGGAGCTCCCTATGGAGCCACGAAGCGTGTGAGGGGTGTGCCGAAATGGGTGTGGCTGACGCATGCGGGCGCGGGCAGTTGGGCCTTCGGTGGAGCTCCCTATGGAGCCACGAAACGTGTGAGGGGTGTGCCGAAATGGGTGTGGGTGACGCATGCGGGCGCGGGCACTAGGGCCTTCGGTGGAGCTCCCTTATGGAGCCACGAAACGTGTGAGGGGTGTGCCGAAATGTGTGTGGGTGACGCATGCGGGCGCGGGCACTGGGGCCTTCGGTGGAGCTCCCTATGGGGCCACGAAACGTGTGAGGGGTGTGCCGAAATGGGTGTGTGTGACGCATGCGGGCGCGGGCACTGGGGCCTTCGGTGGAGCTCCATATGGAGCCACGAAGCGTGTGAGGGGTGTGCCGAAATGTGTGTGGCTGACGCATGCGGGCGCTGGCACTGGGGCCTTCGGTGGAGCTCCCTATGGGCCCCGAAACGTGTGAGGGGTGTGCCGAAATGGGTGTAGGCTGACGCATGCGGGCGCGGGCGCTGAGGCCTTCGGTGGAGCTCCATATGGAGCCACGAAGCGTGTGAGGGGTGTACCGAAATAAATGGGTGTGGGTGACGCATGCGGGCGCGGGCACTGGGGCCTTCGGTGGAGCTCCCTATGGAGCCACGAAACGTGTGAGGGGTGTGCCGAAATGGGTGTGGGTGACGCATGCGGGCGCGGGCACTGGGGCCTTCGGTGGAGCTCCCTATGGAGCCACGAAGCGTGTGAGGGGTGTGCCGAAATGGGTGTGGGTGACGCATGCGGGCGCTGGCACTGGGGCCTTCGGCGGAGCTCCCTATGGGGCCACGAAACGTGTGAGGGGTGTGCCGAAATGGGTGTGGCTGACGCATGCGGGCGCGGGCACTGGGGCCTTCGGTGGAGCTCCCCCTGGGGCCACGAAACGTGAGAGGGGTGTGCCGAAATGGGTGTGGCTGGCGCTTGCGGGCGCGGGCACTGGGGCCTTCGGTGGAGCTCCCTATGGAGCCACGAAAAACGTTGGGAGGGGTTTGCCGACCAGGGGGTTGGCTTGACGCATGCGGGTCGAGGCAACTGGGGCCTTTCGGTTGGAAGTTACCTATGAGCCACGCAGCGTGGAGGGTATGCTGCCCGAAATCGGGTGGGGCGGACGCATTGGCGGGCGCGGGGGCACTGGGGGGCCTTCGGTGGAGCTCCCTATGGGCCACGAACGTGTGAGGGGTGTGGAAGGGGCTGGGCACGAAGCGTGTGAGGAAACGTGTGAGGGGTGGGCCGAAATGGGTGTGGCTGACGCATGCGGGCGCGGGCACTGGGGCCTTCGGTGGAGCTCCCTATGGAGCCACGAAAGCGTGTGAGGGGTGTGCCGAATTGGGTGTGGCTGACGCATGCGGGCGCGGGCGCTGGGGCCTTCGGTGGAGCTCCCTATGGAGCCACGAAACGTGTGAAGGGTGTGCCGAAATGGGCGTGGCTGACGCATGCGGGCGCGGGCACGAGGGAGGAGGGGGAAGAGGAGGAGAGGAGAGGAACGCGGGGCACCGTCTCTTCAAAACGAGGACCCAACACCACAGGATGGTTGGGAACCTTCGACAAATCAATGTGAGGCCTCGAGGAGGCCTCTTGGGGCGTCTTGGAGGCCTCTTGGACAGTCTGGGGCCAATTCTGGGCAATCTGGGGCCGTCATGGGCGGCTGTGGCGGTCTCGAAGCGCGTCTTCAACCGATCCGGGGCCGTCTTCGGGCGATTTTGGAGGGCCTCCGGCGCGCCGGCAGGGCCCCGGGCAGCCCGGTCCATACATCTGAGTGAGCGATATCCAACAAAGAAGCGCTCTGCAACCGCGGCGGGGGCGAAAAGGAGGAGCTCCCCCCCTCCCCGGTGCACGAAAGGCGGTGGGGTGCGAAAAGGGGGAGCATCCTCACCCCCCCCGTGTAAACCCAAATGTGCATCGCCTGCCTGTCCGCAACCGTTTCTCGCTCGGGGGCCCATTGAGCAGCCCGTGGGCGGTATGTTGATCCACTTGTGGGCTCCAGAGAGCTCGCAGACCCGTGGTATTCATAGATATCGGATCATTGTCATGATAGAACACGTCAACTCAATACTACAGTCTGAAGGCTCTCTGGTGCCAGTTACTGACTGGTTTCAGACGATCGAGTGCGCAGGAGCGAGACGGCCCGCCACCCGTTGCTGGAGGGAAACGGAGGCAGATCCACGGACCGAACATGAACAGAACCGACGCCGACATCGAGAGTGTCTCCGACAGCATCGAGATTGTCATCAGCATCGGCGAACCCGCACCCGGTGCACGAAAAGTGGTGGGGGGAGCCCGAAGGGGGGGGCTCCCGCACCCCCCCCTGGCACTCCGAGCTCTGCCCATGCCGCGCGCAAGGGGGGAGCGCCCCCCCCCCTGGCACTCCAAGCTCCGCCCGACCCGCGCGCAAAATGGGCGGCTCACAACCCCCCCCCCAGGCATTCCAAGCTCGGCCCGCGCCGCGCGCGCAAGGGTGAGCTCCCCCACCCCCGGCACTCCAAAGTCTGCCCGTCCCGCGCGCAACGGGGGGAGCCTTCCACCCCGCGGCACTCCGAGCTCTGACCCCTCCCGCGCGCAAAGACCCCCCCCCCCCTGGCACTCCGAGCTCTGCCCGTCCCGCGCGCAAGGGCCCGCCCCGCCCCCCGGGCACTCCAAGCTCGCCCGTCCCGCGCGCAAGGAGGGGCCCCCCCCCCCTCCCCCCCCGACACTCCAAGCTCTGCCCCCGCGTCCCGCGCGCAAGGGGTGCCCCCCCCCCCCCCCCGCGCACCCCAAGCTCTGCCCACCCGTTCCGCGCGCAAGGGCTCCCCGTCGCGAAGCAGCCGATGGCGGCGTCTCATCTGAATCTCACGAATCTGTCGAGGGCTGCGACCTGCACTGACATAGAGCTGGAGTGTTTGCCAAGTGACCGCCTGCGTCTGGAACTGCCGCCGCGCGCCTCCCTGGACACGGAGGCCCGTGCGAGAGCAGCAGCGCGCGGGGCGGGTGAGAGCCGGGCCGCCAAGTAGCCGAGCGATGAACCGCTTGGCGGGGACGTCGCCCGCAAGCGTAGCAGTGGACCAGTCCACTCCCGATTCAGTAAACGAGGCGGCCAGGCCCTGCTGAACATGGGCTGGGAAAACAAACCCGGCGCAGCCAGCAGTGAAGACCGCGGGGTCGGGCACTCTGTCGATGTCTGCCTCCGCCACCAGGTCAGGTATCTGCGCTCCCGCAAGAGCAAGGGCTCTCTGTCTGTCGGCAACGGCCTGCTTCGTCTCGTCCTGGGCCCTCTCGGAGGCTGTGATACGCTGGCGAAGAGATGCGATCTCGCCCTCGGTGCCGTCGATGCGCCTGGAGAGGAGCGTCTGGGAGTCGTGGATGGCCTTGGCGACAGTACGAGCCGCGTCCGCTTTGAATGTGGCAAGGGTGGTGTCCACGTGCGCGGTGAGCTGGTCCTGCAGGGCTTTCGTGAGCGCCTCGAGACCTCCAGCAACAGAGGAAGATGCCGATCCAGCCGCCGCGGCGCCAGGAGGAAACTGGCCTTCATCAGGTGGCCGATCCGCATGACGTCCTTGCCAAGTATCAGCTCGCGCGCGCCGGTGGATCCTCCAATCGTTCTTGTGAAAAGAAAGTAGATGCAGCATCATGGGCGGTGAGAAAAAAAGGAGACAAAAACGTCTTGCGAAGGGAGATAAACAGGGAGCGGAAGAGGGGCAGTGGCGCCGCCAGGTCGTGGAAGGGGACCGCCAGGACGCCCAGCACCGCCTCGCCGTTCTCCACGGGGTTGCTGCTGAGGTCGTTGCTGTCTGCGGTCGTAATCTTGTGATCGTCGATGGCGTCGTAGTGCTGGCTCTTCCCGAGGAGACCCGTCAGCACCTCCACCTCTGCTGGCGCTGCGCCGCGCGCCGTCCGTGTCGGAGGAGTCCATGATCCTGAAAGCAGCGAACAGCACGGGCTGCACAGCGTCGCCAGGCACAGGAGGCAGCCGCGTCCTCGCGGGGCGAGGGGAGCACACGTGTAGGTCCTGAAGGGATGGAAGCTTGGTGGGAGCCTACCCCGCTGAGGCAGTTCGAAGGGAACCATGTTGGCCTTGAGCCAAAGTGGCCACGGAGGAGGAGGAGGAGGAGGAAGAGGATGAGGATGAGGATGAGGATGAGGATGATGATGATGATGATGATGATGATGATGATGATGATGATGATGATGATGATGATGATGATGATGAGGAGGAGGAGGAGGAGGAGGAGGAGGAGGAGGAGGGAGGAGGAGGAGGAGCCGGAGCAGGAGCAGGAGGAGGAGCAGGAGGAGGAGGAGGAGGAGGAGGAGGAGGAGGAGGAGGAGGAGGAGGAGCTGGGACGCACGAGCTCCAAGAGGGCCGCCGCGGCAGACCCCCGACCGAGGCTCGCTCCCGCCTCCGCGGCGGCGCAGGGCCCGGGCGGCTCCTCTCCCAGCATCCTGTAGGCCTGCGCCATGGCGCGGGCGGGCGGGCCCCACCCTCTCTCTCCTCTTCGCCAACCCTTAGGGCCCCCCCCCCCCCTCTCCTTCCTCCTAAGTTTCGCGCTCGGCCCTCCCCGAGGATCTGGGAGGGGCTTCGGACGTCTTCGGACGGTTGTTGGGCGTTTTCGGCCGTACTTGGGCCTCCAGAGGCCTCCCGGGACCTCGGGGGGTTAGGATCTGGGGCGGGAGCAAATCTTACCACTTCCACCTCCTCCGTCGAGCTCTCTTGCTGCTGTTGCTGCTGCTGCTGCTGCTGCTCCTCCTCCTCCTCCTCCTCCTCCTCCAAAAGCCCGAGCTCTGGCTGTGGATCCTGCTCTGACTCTGGCTCGGCTCTGGCTTGTCACCCCGCCCGCTTCGCTTCAGGGGTGCGGTCGGCGTCGCGCGAGCTCGAATGGCTGCGAGGACCCAAGTGGCCAGGCGCTCCTGGAGGAAGGACGGAGGAGGACGAAATGGCAAGAACAGGGGACAGTTACAAAGGAAGAGTGGACAACTAGAAGGGAAGAGGGGACAACCGTGATATGATTAAGGGAAGGGATGAACGGGATGTCCAGATGGATCGAGGGATGGAGGGGAAGGGAAGGGAATGGGGGGCTATAGGCGGGAGAGGGAGAGGTTTGGAGGGACATGATGGAGAGAG